GGGGAGTGTGAGAGGGAGAAGCAGGCTTCCCGCCGAGCAGAGAGCCCGATGCGGGGCTCGATCCCAGGACGCTGGGATCATGACCTGAGCTGAAGGCAGACGCTTAACGACTGAGCCACCCAGGTGCCCCTAGGCTGTATTTTAAAGACTCAACACAGTTTGGCAAAAAATAAAACTGATACATGTAGCAAATTGATTTCTTAAAATGGAAAAAATTCCATGGCTACTGTCTGTGGCTGTATAGTTTTAGGTGAAAAACTTCCATTTTTCATTTATTTTTAAAATTGATTCACTCCTAATTTCTTCATGCATTCATCCATTCATTTAACTAGTAAATGCATTAGTGGATACAATGCCATGGGGGAACAGGGCCATGGGGACGTCAAAGATTCAGAATTTTTCTTGAAATCTGATGAGAAGTCATCATAGGGGGCCTTTCCCCTGAGGAAGAAACAGACATAGAATAGTTTTGAATCTACACAGAAAATATGTTGCTGTTATGTATATCTTTATTTGGGAGAAAATGAATGGGGATTTGGCATGCCATATCTGATAGTTGGGTTTTTTGTTGTTGTTGTTTTTCACCCTTTGTGTAAACTGATAATAGTGGAAGGGAAAAATAAATATATTAGGAACTAAAATGTATAGAACAATTATGAAACCCGTATCTGAATTAGGCCCACTCTTAGAGTCAACCCTAGTAATTGTTACTTCTAGGTCTGTTCTTAATTGCTAAAGTCATTTGGTTATATTACCCCTTAGCTTCTTGGTATAGAATTGCCATATTTGAATTTGGAATCTAGTCACAGATTCTCCCCAGGTGAATGGATCACATATTTATAGATAGGAAATTTAAAATGTCATGTCAATAAAACACCTTTGTATATTAAGAATTACAAAATAAGAATGGCATTTCCTTATTCAAAACAATTATGTCCATTTGTAGTCAGTTCTGCAGTCAAGGATACTTGAGAATATTTCCCTTACTACATTTTATTTTTTAAATCATTTTTTTCATTTACATGACCAAGCTGTCGTTGTTTGTTCTATGCCCTGCAAGCAAATATTTCAGTACTTTCAGTATGAATTAGAATACAATCAAAACTAATTTGGCCAAAATTTCTCTGCCAACAAGTTATTTTAAAGTGATTTAAATATAAGGTAATTCGGGGCACCTGGGTGGCTCAGTTGTTAGGTAAGTGTCTGCCTTCGGCTCAGGTCATGATCCCAGGGTCCTGGGATCGAGCCCCCCATTGGGCTTGCTGCTCAGCGGAGAGCCTGCTTCTGGCCCTCCCCCAGCTCCTGTGCGCCCTCGCTCTGGCTCTCGCATGTGTGTGCTTTCCCCCACCCCCCTCTTTCTCAAATAAATAAATAAATAAAATCTCTTAAAGTAAATAAATATAAGGTAATTCAAGAGAATGTTTCAGCATTGAAGTTCACAGCCTATACATTTGACAAGAAGGATACATACAGAATATGTAATTATATCAGTTTTAATAAAAACTCAATATTTAAATACTAAACATTGTAGCACTTTTACGAAAGTGTTAGAAGATACAGTTTTAGGTGTACACTACAGGCTTATGGCAGAGGCTTTGCAAGGGAGGCTGAGGTCCCCCCAGGATAATAATATGGGGATAATGACTGCCTTACATACCCTAAATGGGTGGCTGCAGAAAACAGCCAATATGTTGTTTTGAGAAAGTGTGTAAACTAGAAAATACTATATAAACCTGAAATATCAGAATGTGGATTCTGGAGTCAAACTGGCTGGATATCAATCTAGAGTATCTCTTAATAAGTGCAAACATTGGGAAAGTGGTGGGCCTTCTCTGCACCTCCTTCTCCACATCCCTAACTTGGGGGCTTGCTGTGAAGGTGAAATGAGCAATGTGTGAGAAGCATTTGGTACAGGGCTCGCACTGAGCCTTTACTCCCCAAACCGTACATATTATTGTTTCACTTTTCAGATTTTTATTTGGGTCGGCAAAGATGCCAATGAAGTTGAGAGAACAGAATCTCTGAAGTCTGGTAAGCGAGATCCCATGGACAATGAATGGCATTTATCCTGAGTGCTTATTACAAAGCTTTTGACTGCTCTTTTCACCACATTCTTCAAAACCACATATTAAAACTGAGCAGAATCTAATAAGCTTTTGCTTTCAGAACTTAAGTGTAATGGAATTTTTTTGAACTGAAGAATTTCAGAATAAGAATAAGAAGAATGTTTTATTACCTAATTTAGAACATGATTACATCAGTTTATTCTGAAAACTTTAAATTCACTTAAACAATATTATAGAAATAGTAAAACCTCTATAACTATGATAACCTAGATTTTTTAAAGTTTTTTGAGTAATGCTGTTCTTTCTGCACAATTTTTTTTATTTTTGAAAAGTACAGGAATAATTATGCCATAAGGATAATTCTATAAAGTTTGAAATTTTTTTAGGCAACCATTAGACTCTCATGTGCAATCCATGGCAGATGAGAGAAATCAATAAGGAATTGTTCATATGGAACAGTATTTGGCTACTTCAGGGCAATGAAAATTTGATTCATTATTTTTATTGGGAGACTTTTCATTTCATGGTTATTTTAGTTTAATCAAAACTAACTGACCCTACGACCCAGGAATTGCACTACTAGGTATTTATCCAAAGGATACAAACATAGTGATTTGAAGGGGCACATGCACCCCAATGTTTATAGCAGCAATGTCCACAATAGCCAAA